TAATTCTCGGAATAATGAGGCTTTGTTATGATGCTCGACCGGCTCAACTAAACCTATTTCCATTGTCATATAAAAGAATAAGAGGCGACTTGATCATTTCTTAAATTACTTGGTGATAAATTTGCATATGATATGCCTCACTTTTTTTGTCTTCCAAAGAAAGGAATTCACGATCTTGGGGTCATCTAGAGGAAGCCTACTGTTGACATCGATCACGACAGTCGCATGCTGGAATAATTAACCTACTCTACGCGTCTTGGGATCTTTCATATCATGAATCTAGAGGACTTCAATCTTCCTAGAGTCAAATTCGCGGAACATACGTATATTGATGAGGAAAACTCAACTGAAGCTCGGTTCTTCAACCTCAATGAGGAACTGGGATTATTCGAAAATGTGAAGTCAACAACTCGTTGGAGAAAGTCAGTTACCGTGGCGCATAGACTAGGTATTTACAAACAAAGAATTCCAAGCTGACAACCTCTCAATCCTGGCACTGGGGCACATGTGATGATAGCGTCAACTATCTTTTGTTTGAAGGGATTTCTTGACAACTCAATCTTCAGATTTTTCCAGCCTACCGTCGATGCATTAAACTCACTGAAGATTAAAAATTGACCACTTGAAGACCAAGCGTTGAAATCATGTAGCAAGACCTCATTCACCACACAGTTTGGATTGCTGCAGACTATACCATTCAGTAGCTGCCTTAGTAGCTCTTTTGCCGACTCAATGTCGTGCTGTAAACGAGTTCTGGATTCCGAACTTTCCCAGTCATGTACTCTTTGAACAGCGACTGACCGGTCACTGCGATCAATCTTCAATCTCTCGACTTTTGTTTGTCGAACCAGCTTTTGTTTAGCAACATTTGATCGTTTCTTATTGTTGATCTGTACCTGTTCATCAGATTTCATTGGAGTGGCAATCACAGTTCCGTTGCACACATTATGGGATCCTGGATGATTGTCGATGACTTGTGTAGTCAGGTTGTTTTTTTCCTGCTAGGAACAGGCCTAGCCTTGCGTTTAAGTTTTCAAGGTGTTTCCTACTCGCTGTCTTTTCGAGGATGGGGAAAGTAAGAAACCTCCTTTCTTTAGCCTTTATTTCCAATAGACCTCTTTATAGGCGGTCTTTCATTCGTTGGTCCATGTAAGTATACTCACATGAAGTATATTGCTGTATCCCCAGTTTAGATGTGTTCTTCATCACATATTAGTGGTGACTACGAGAGGATGAGTCAGTGTAGATAATGATGTGACGTCCACGTAAGATCTTAAAGATTTGGTAGTCATATCATGACAAATCCACAATTTTAGGATTGGGTATATTATTAGAACAGTACTAATGACGAAGTTTACCATGATTCTACAGATGACTTCAGTCTTCCTGTAGTGAGTTTCGCGGACCTCACATCCTTTGGAGACAAAAACTCTGCTGAAGCTCAATCCTCCAACCTGGGATTGTTCAAAAATGTCAGGTAGGAAACTCGTTAGACAGACAGTCAGACACCGTCGCTCTTATCAGAACTATGTGTGAGAGATTTACAAATCAATATCAGCCGAACAAGAGCAGAAAAAGCCAAGGCACAAGCCGAATACACAGAGGCAAACAAGCAAGTGAAGAGGAGCATCAGAACCGACAAACGTAAATATGTGGAAGATTTAGCAATGACAGCGGAAAAGGCTGCAAGAGAAGGAAACATAAGACAACTGTATGATACGACAAAGAAACTTGCTGGAAATTACCGTAAGCCAGAAAGACCAGTGAAAAGCAAGGAAGGCAAAGTAATCACCGATATTGAGGAACAAAGAAACAGGTGGGTAGAACAATTCAAAGAACTCTTGAATTGACCAGCTCCACTGAACCTACCCAACATCGAAGTAGCACCCACAGACCTCCCAATCGATGTTGGCCCACCAACAACTGAAGAGATCAGCATGGCCATAAGACAACTCAAGAGTGGCAAAGCAGCGGGTCCAGATAATATTTCGACAGAGGCAGTGATAGCAGATGTAGCAGCAACTGCAAAGATACTCCACATTCTCTGCAGCAAGATTTAAGATGAAGAATAAGTACCAACAGACTGGAAATAATGACTTCTGATCAACATACCAAAGACAGATTATCTCACCGAGTGTGATAACTACAGAGGAATCACTCTTCTCTCAATACCAGGAAGAGTCTTCAACAGGGTACTGTTAAACAGAATGATTGCGGGGCGGAGACGTGGAGAACTACAAAAGCCATCATCCAGAAGATACAGGTGTTTATCAACAGTTGTCTACGCAAGATACTTCGGATCTGATGGCCAGACACTATCAGCAACAAGTTACTGAGGGAGTGAGCAAACCAGATTCCAGCGGAGAAAGAGATCAGGAAGAAGTGCTGTAAGTGGATAGGGCATACATTGAGGAAATCACCCAACTGCGTCACAAATCAAGCCTTCATATGGAATCCTGACGGCCGAAGGAGAAGAGGAAGACCAAAGAACACATTACGCCGAGAAATGGAGACAAACATGAAAAGAACGAACAAAAATCGGATGGAACTAGAAAGAAAGGTCCAGGACATAGTTGGTAGGAGAATGCTGGTCGGCGGTAGTAAAAGAAGTAAGTAAGTAAGTAGGTCTTCTTTTACCCCCATTTCCAGTCTAGTTGACATTTTATTTTTATATATAAATGCATCTAACAAGTATATGTGTGATCAGATTGTTCGAAATATATTGCGCTAATATATAACATAGTTCTGATAATCTTCGTCTTCTTATTACACTATCGAAAAGTATACGGGCAACTCAAAAAAAGCGAGGAACCCATGCACAAAGGCAATAAGAGAAGATAGGCTTCAGTATCAGGCAAAGCTCATCCATAAATTTATCTCCAATCCGAAAAGCTCATTTCGTTATGCGGTTCCCCTTCGACAAGCCAAAACCGGAGTTTTTCGACTGCTAGGTCCTAATAGCCAAAACAACAACAACGGTGACGCCTCTGACCTTCTGGTAGAACAGTACTCTCGGACATTTCAACCGACCCATATTAACTACATTGATGAAAGCTTCACCTGCAACTCAATAAGACTTTCAGAAATGAATCTGAGCTCTGAATTGGTGTACCGGAAACTGCAGCACCCGAAATAGACGCTTCTCCTGGTCAGGATATGGTCCATCTTGCTATACTGAGGGAATCAGCTTCAATCCTTGCAAAACTGCTTAGCGTGATGCTCTCACGTATACTAAGCCGGGGCACATTACCAGAAAATTGGAGGGTGGCCCACATCACACTAATTTTCAAATGAGGTCGATGCAGAGAACCATCGAGCTACCGACCGGTAGCGTTTCTCTCTATACCCTCGAAAATTAAGGAGTCCCTGGTATGGGATGGTCTACAAGACTACTTACTATCCATAAACTTATTTTCGCCCCAACAACACAGGTTCAGGAAAGGTCACTCATGCATAACCAACCTGCAGATCTCTGTGGACAGATGGACGATCATCCTTGATCTCAAGAGGAGGGTTGACGTCACATACCCTGCTTTCTCAAGGGCTTTTGATAGGGTCAACCATATATGTTTTATCGATAAGCTGAAATGGTTAGGTATCAAATCACATTTAACTGATTGACTCACCTCATATATAAAACATCGACATTTGAAGGTTAGAGTTAACTTCACCTTCTCCAAGGCTATGGAATATCCTATTGGTGTCTCTCAGGATCCAGTGCTAGGATCTCTTCTTTTGTTGATTTATGTAAACGACCTTCCACAGCAGGTATCGTCAGATTTATTACTTTTCGCTGATGAAGTGAAGCTCTGGCGAGAAGTATGGAGCCATAATGATGAACTGGCACTTCAGGAGGATCTGACTCGACTTCGAATTTGGGAAGACGATAACGGACTTACCTCTAACACTTCAAAGTGTAAAGTAGTCCATCTGAGATATGTTACAGCCTACAAATACAACTTGGGGAACTTCCCTCTAGAAGTTCCCTAAGTTGAAAAAGATCTAGGAGTGCTGGTACCCTACGATCTGAATTCTTACGCTAACTGTGACAAGGATGTCTTCTGAGCAAATCTTGTACTAGTAAAGTTGAAGCGCACTTTTGGCCAGTTTGACGGAAGAACTTTTTACATAATCTTCAACAGTTTTATTTGTCTCTATTTAGAGTACGGAAACAGTATTTCCTCCCTCACTGCAAAAGGATTAGGACACTCTGGAACGTGTCTAACGGCGAGCCACGAAATCAATTCAGGGACTCAAATTCAAGTCTTATGAAGAGCTCCTCCAATCACTTAACCCTTACTCATTAGAGTACAGGTGTCTTGGAGGTGACTTTCTAATGGCTTACAGTATCCTTAACACCTAAGGACACCCCGTTAAACACATACTTAAGCTTAGTCCCAACACAAATCTTACGGGTAACAACCAGAAACTGGAGACACAACATAGCAGAACGGAGTGTAGACACACCTTCTACCCCTTAGGAATGGTTAAATGTTGTAATTTGCTGACGGCTGAGCTAGTTCAGGCGACTTCTCAGAAGTCCTTTAAGAGAAAACTTGATATATTCTTAAGAACTAATGATAAAATATTATCAGGAATTGTTGTCTGCAAGCTAATTTAGACGAATCGGTTAGATGGGCTCATGATTGGGGTTTGGAAGTTAATTCCATCAAGAGCGTGTTCATGCACATCGAGCACGATATTAGTTAACACTATACCATTAATGGTACATCTCTTCCACGCGTTCAAGAGTATGAAGACTTAGGAGTAACTATAAGTCACGACTTGAAAATTACTACGCACTGGAATGCGGCTGCTTCCAAATGTTATCGTGCGACATGGTCACTTCGCCGAGCATTTAAATACTGGAACGCATTACCAGAACAAGTGGTATCAGCGCCATCAGTGAACATTTTCATGAAGAAGCTGGACCCTCACTGGAAGGAAATCTGTCAGGATTAACACAGGTTCATCAACCTGCTATCCTTATTACTGAAGACAGAAGACTGATGTGATCACACATTGTAGCCAATGTGGTCAATGCAAAATATTGTTGTAATACAATGGTTAGTCGCGCTTGTTACTCGTCAAGGCCACTTGGCACGGTTGGTGAATATAAATTTGACCACTTTTGGACGTAAGCTTATCAGCCTGTTACTGGTCTATTCCCTGTAAACATCTCTATTGTCATACTACCTAATATGCTGATGACCTGTGGTAATTAAAAGACTCTGTAGCACAACAATATAAATAGCAAAATAACAGTCAACTCAATGTAACTGAAAGAAGTTGAATATTGAAGCTTCACTTTAGCACTTACGTATTGTATGCTTTGTCCACAATTTCAGTTTGTTGAGTGTTTAAGTGTTTTTGGTTACCCTAAAGGCTTGTCGAATTTCCTCCAAATCCATGAACCAGGTCAAATACACATGAATGTGTGTTTTTCAGACGGACCACCATTATTTCCCTACTCCTTAGTCCTAGTTTAGTTTTCATGTAACTTGCAGTAACAGTCTCACGATGTCGGTATCCTGTGTTTGACAAGTACTCGATCCTTTGTACTTTGATTTATATAGCTGATTAAATTACTTGTTCACACAATTTAATAGTCAAGTACAAGTTTGTTCATTTCACTTTGGGCCACCTATTTTGTGTAAGCTAGTTACACTCTTAGGCTGCTAATACCGATGCAAACGATTTGTGGTTCAAACGCGAGACGTTAAGTTATCAGTCGTGTCCTAGGCCACCGCTCCTCAGCCTGAGTAAATGAAGTAGTGATTTATAGTCATTACCATCAAGAGAAAATGGGGAGTATGTTGTTGACAAAAGACCTATTTATGTGGGTCCTATAAAGGATTTACAGTGTCAAGCCTCAGCGCAGATTTCATGCAGAAAAGCAGTTGTTATGTAAGGCACTCGATTATCAACAAATTGATCTCAAGTTAGAATAACTCACTCCTGTTTCTTAATCTGGGTGGTATTTTTGGCTGTCATACAACAAACGTTTCTATTAGTCGAAAATATAAGCTTGTATTTGACAAATCAGTTTCAGTGTAAGAACAGGTGTCTGAGTATAGTGTTAGTGAGATGGTTAGTGTTATTCATTTATTTTATTTTTATTTGAACACATAAATATTGGTACAAGGAGGCACCAGATATGTATGCGCCACACAAAAATTTGTCACTTCATTCGATTGTATGAGGGCTATGATACTGTCCAGGTGCCCAGATCGAAGCAGGTAGCTTTCTTAGGGGCCACACCCCGAGCCTTCGACCTAAAAGTCTGATCCACAAGGCAGTGGAGCATCCTTACGAGATGCAGTCCCATGGTAGCCGGTGACCAACGACTGATTCATACGCCATTTGTTCCCTCAGGATGCTGGAGCCCATGTACACCATTGGTTTGAAATCAGGGTTTTTAAACTCATCTAGGTGAACTTTCCGTGTCCACCAACCTAGTTAAAGCGCTGGACATTCGCTTTTCGTCCTCTCAATTTCGTAGACAACACCCCCGCCACGAGAAGGCAGTGAGTAGGACTTCCCTGGCAGAGGCTGTATACGCGTGGACGTGTGAGAGCATTTCGAGAGGGAGAGTGGACTCTCCCCGCTCTCGGCCGTACCAGGGCCTAGCAATGGGGGTCTCTCATTTTATACAACTCATTTGAACGTGCCGACAAATGAGGTACAATCACTTGTTAAGGTAAGCAATTCCACGCTATAATTCTTAGGGACGTTGTTAGCCAGCTGACAAGTCGTGAGATTTTCGGAGTCTCCTGCTGGGGAGCTTAGAGTTGCTCTTTGTTGTGGTTCTGTACTAGAAAATTGTTTGTTCTTATAAGGTTTGTGACGTACTTGTCTTGAAGACAGGACGTACTAGTGAGTTCTTCAAGTCACTTGATAAACTACCCTGGTCTAGATTTAAAACATGTACTTAAAGGATTTAGTATTAAGTGCGCGAGTTCTTCCAACACCCTAGTTGGGATTTCGCCAGGTCTCATATATTTTCCTACGCTGAATTTACTTAATAGACTAATGGCCAACTCTTTTAATGGTCATAATATCTGGAGTATGAGTGACAAGGTTCATTTGTGCTCAATGGAAAGGTGTCTACTGTATATACATTGCTAAAGTAATCTGAAAATATTTGACCTTTACCGTAGTCGTCTTCCACGGACGCTTCCATACTACCATCCCTATGCAATCCTGGGACGCTGCACCATTTATACTTCCTTCGATTTGAATACGAGTATAAGCATTTCGGGTATTCTATTGAGTCGTTAACGAGTATTTTTTTTATACTCTCAGACTTAAATAGGGCAATGGCACAAACATTTATGGCTTCCTAATATTATTACTTGGTCTCATCAGTGCCTAGCAACCTAAATCTCTCTCGAACTTTCCACCAGGAATGAAACTGATAACCATTGATCTTACGTGCGAGTATTTAACCTCTAGACCATTGAGTTGAAATTCCAATTTAATTTACTAATATTTGAAATTTCTAGTCGTAACTCTGCGGCACTGAATCCCTGCTGATGACAACAGCTGTCTTTACTTTATTGGAATATTCATAAAAGTAGCAGCTAAGTTGCATAGTTACTCACTAGTCTGTCAGTTAGATGTTTCTAAGGGCTCGCCGTACCTACCATCCCATTACTTTAATTGATGCTTTTACTTGTCCATGGCAGACATAAATTTGTACAGCAATGTTTCGGTGATATTAATTAGATCGACATACTATTCCGTTTCATTTGATACTCAGGCCTTTAGATTCTCAAGTATGTCTGCTGATCAAAAGTAGTTAGAGCTTTCCTTGACCTTCACTCTCGATCCTGGTCCATAATATCTTGGTGGATTGCGCTAATTAGTAACAATACCAAAGACTGCAGCTGTTGTAACAACCGTTTAGTCGGACTTCTATGTTAAATTTCCAAGATAGACATCTTTTCAAACTTATTACAATATAAATTAAAAATTCAGAAGTTGGTAAGGTTCCTGAAAAAGTGAAATAGTAATTCACTGTCAACCCAGTAAACTAAAACGATGTGTAAAACACTTTGGAAAACTGGTCTTCAACTACCATCCAGTTTTCAACTGTTACCAAGCAAATTCAATGAAATGTCAACACAAGTCCTCGGAATAGTAATAAAGTTGAAAATCTGTGGCTTACGTAAAGTGGAGTAAAGCAGCAGGTCCATATGTAAAAGTCTAGAAAATCTTTAATTATGAAGGTCTAGTCTTAGCAGTTGGAGTAATTGTGTATACCACATATTCACTCCTCACCAAGTTCTGGAACACAGAATTACCTACCTATTCCTAACCACAGTTATATTTCTCAACACCAAAGCAGCGTTCTATTCTGTTGGTTGAGAGATTTTATAGGAGTGCACATCAATTAAAAGCGCACCACAGTACAGCAGTCTTGTGAAGACAATATACTCGAATACTACTGGTTGAGTCTATGACAAAGTCAAATGAAAATGGAAAACCCTTACGAACACCACTAAATGTTAGTACTTCCAATGACCGTTTGTCATAAACTCTGACTCAAACAATAGATTTATTTATTTTATAAATCTATTGTTTGAGTCAGAGCTTATGACAAATGGTCATTAGAAGTGCTAACATTTAATGATGTTCGTAAGAATTTTTCATTTGATTTTGTCATAGACATCTTTTTGGAGATAACATTTTCACCTAATCTACCAAGAATCAATTTACCAGGAGATTCTCGTTTGAACTTAAACTAAACAGATGATATAGTTCTGTTTCCTTAAAATATTGAAAAGATGCATAGTCTTCTGGTAGCCTTGGACGAGAGTGCAGAAATGTCTGGTATGTGTTTCCATCTAAACACAAAATGTTACTTCAAGATAGATTTGTGCCGACACCTAGACCAATGATAGGTAGGGAAGTAGTTGAGTGGGTCGACCGGCTCACTTATTTTAGGAATCTCTTCAGTTCTGGAAGGCCTTTACTTGACGAAATCTGTCTGCTTGCCCACTAAAGGACAGATTTACTCTGTAGCAGTTTGCTTCGTTCTACTTAATGGCTGGGACGTGACCTTTTTAAAACAGGATGTTCGTAGGTCACTAGTATTCAATCGTATGTGTTTTTGAAGCAATGCTCGTTTGTGTTGGGGCGATTAAGTTTTCAATTCTGAGGTTAGATGCATAGTACTAAGTTAACATGACAAACCAATTAAATTAGTGGGTGCTTACCTACTGAGATGGTTGGGACATGTATAATGTATCCCCACCCACCAACTATTGTATTTCGTACTAAAAATGCAATAAAATTACCGTTACTTTGCAATTTTTCAACTTCTTAGTGTGTGTGATTCATTTTGATACATCAAAGGTTAAACGAGCTGAAAACGTTAAGCGGTTACGATTGTCACAAGAAAATTTTTACTGGCTAAAAGTTAACGATGTATCATGTAGATGCTTAAGCCCTTGGTTACCGGAATAGTGACTTAGATGCCGGTTTTAAAAATAGGATAAATTCAACCAGTGTTCTTAGGTCATGCGCGACAGGGTTTAGTCAGCTTAAAAACTGACAGGTTTGTAGTCTTGTACATAAAATCCCTAAATGATATTGTCCTCCCAAATATGTCAAATAGTTTTTCTTCATAGCTGCTTATTTTAAACCTCCCACAAATTTGAGTATATTCAGTTAGTGTTTCTTTTTTTTGTAGAGAAATTGAATTTGTTCATTATGGAAAGTAATGCTGATCTGGAAGAAGTTCAAATTAACGTCAATGGGACAAATCATCCTCAGGCTAAATCGATAGAACAGAATTTTTCTAGTTCAATACCCAATCATTCTGTTTCTTGCACAGAAGCTTCCACTGTGTCACTTGAAACACCAAATGATTTGCCTAAGTCACCTACCATTCTGTCAAGTTCTACTGTAACTAAGAAAGAAATTCCGTCCGACTATGTTTTTGGGTCTAATATTTCATCACGTGTTGTGAATGCTGATGTGTCGAAAGGTGCCTCAGTTAATTTATGGACATCAACATCTGCAAGTCATGATTCCGCCTCTTGTGTTTTTACCACACTGGCCAAAGCAGTCACTGCTTCTCAAGCAAACTTCAAGGATTCGAAAAATTTGGAGGATTCCGCAAAAGAAGTAGCTGAGGATAAGCGGAAGGAAACATTAACGTTAGCAGAAGTCGACCTAGTTACTGGTGAAGAAGGGGAAATCCCAATCATTCGACAACACTGCCGAGCTCATATTTTCGATGCTAATAAGCAGAAGTGGAATAATCTTGGAGCTGTTCATTTCCATCTAAATGATATTCCCAACGACAGTGTGCAAGGGAATAACAATGCTTCCTGCAGGTCACGGATAGTAGTGCGTTTAGTGTCTACGCGCAGATTGTTGATCAATACTCTTATTTGGTCTCAAATGCCTGCTGCTCTAGTTGACTCACGAACTTTGAGGATAGGTGCAATTAATGAGGAAGGACATATCAAAAATTATCTTTTTGGATTTCCGCCGGATGAATCGGCTTCAAAAATATTTGAAATGATAAGTTTTAGAAAGTCAAACGCTACTACTCTCCCGTATGAAATCTATCATGACATAGCACCTGTTTCAAACAAAGATAAGGTGACTGGTTGTAAGCGTCAGTTAGAAATTCAAGCGAAAGCAGATGTAGATTGCTCACTTAATGTGCCCCCGAAAATAGCTAATACTAATATCCTTTCACCTACACCAAGTGTGGTTGTATTTCCAAAAACTAATGTATTTAGACCATCGGTATTCGCTCCAGTTTGTAAAGATTCGTCCAATAATTCATCGACCCCAAATCACTCCTGTCATGTGGGAGAACTACAGTTTCGCAATTCACCGTTGGATAACGTTGTTAAACGTCTCTGTGAAAGCAATCCATCTGGTAGCTCTGAATCTTCTACACTTCCATGTAATAACAAAGTAACTGAACCCCCGAAGTTGTCATCGAGCGTAAATTCTCAGAATATGCCTATCAGTTCGGTTTCAAGTAATCAATGTGCCGATTTCATATTCGGCCATAACGTTTCGGAACGCGTCACAAATGCTTCTTTATCTACAGTCGTTAACCGTGATATCTCTGGCAAGGATCTTCCAGTAGAGTCTTCAGAGTCAAACGACCACAGTTTGTCTCCGGAAAAAGAAGAGAGTATAGATGCTTCTGAAACTGGTGAGCATTGTACTGTTCTTCCTAGTAAACAAACACTAGAAGAATCTGCCGCTGCAGTGACTTCTGAGATGCTCGAAAAGTCGACTTATCTCTTAGCTAATCTTCCAGAATCTCCTATTCTCACTGGGGAAGAAGGAGAATACCTTACTCTGAAAGCTTACTGTCACTTTTATTGTTTTGATCGTCACAAACATGAGTGGGTTGGTCGTGGACAGGCTTACATTCACTTGAATGACGTTGCAATGAAATCTTCATCTTCACCTAGTCAAGTCTCCCCTTTTCCATCTGGACCGCCTGCACGATCTCGTTTAGTAATCCGCACGTGCCAAACATTGAAACTTTTGGCCAATGTTCCTATCTGGTCCGGTCTGAACGTTGCTATGGCTGATGAACGCTCTATTCGTCTGACTACAGTCTGTCATCCGTCAGAAACTTTGAATGATTCTCAAAATAAGGTGAGCTATTACCTCGCTCAATTTCATTTTCTAGTTACGTATACTAATATCCATATAGGTTACCAGTGATTGGACAGATTTGATTAGCATTTCTTAATATGTACACCGATCATTCTGTTCATATACACTGTCTTTGGATAAGTTGTAATATATTCCTTCCTAATGTTGTGTATCAGTGACAATACACCCAATAAATTGACCCTCATCCTGTTGACTGTTTGACTTAATTTAGCCTCTATGCCATCAGAAGTCATGTGTGTGATAGAAATCGCTAGTCGTGTATTGTCTTTTAATTCTTTTCCTGAGAAGCGACGATCATCTCCAACCACTGTGTGTAAAACATGAGCTCCTGCCCCATCGCCTTGTAGATTAGACCTCTTGGTCAAAGGCCCGGGGGGTGGCCCCCTAAAAAGCCACTTGCTTCGGTTTGGACACCCCAGCAGTACTCCAGCCCTCATACAAATCAAGTGACGAAGTGTGGCGCATATATGTTTGGTGCCCCTTGTACCAATGGTTATGCATTCGAATAAAGAGATAGAGCCCCTTATTTCAATAATCAGAAATTATTGAAAGCATCTACATTTCAGTGATAACTTACGAACGGTTGCCATTCCAATTGCTGAGGATTGTAATTCACTGTGTATCATCTCATATCAAAACATATTCTTTTTCAATTATCTATAAAACATGCTCGTAATATGTTTTATTTTCAAGCATATGATTGTATAGTGGTAACAACAGTTTGTTCTGGGTTAAACTGGTACATGAAACTAAGATCAAACTGTTGTTCGTCAGTTTTTTTAAGAAGTTTCAATTTATTAACTGACACGTTAGTCTAGTTGAATATCTTCACTTAAGATGTCATATGCTTTTGATTAATAGCTTTTTATTTGTCACTGATGTTTTCCCAATAAATAATATAGTTGCGACTTCATTTGAAAGGGAAGATCGGAATTGAATATACATATCATACAATGTGTCCCACAAGTCAGGACTTATATACTGGTATGACAGTACTAACGATACACAGTTTCCTAGATCCTGACGACTACGATTGGTTTAAACTTTGTAATTATACCGTTAAGTGCCCAAAGGACTGTATACATATTACCAGCAGTAACACAACCTTCACGATTAAACGGTCTTTTTTAGATTGTAATGTTAAGAATACTTAATGATAATTGTCAGCAGAAAGCGTGTTTTTTAAGCTTTACTGGTGACATTTTATACTATTGCTAATACAAACTGAACTCAAACTAATCGTACATTGAAGAAATGGCATATTGGTTAAATCTTGTTTGATAATGATGAATCACTTAATAGAATTGTAACTGTGTGTGTTTTTATATACTAATCGTAAATTCATTTGTGTGGAAGTTGTAGGTTATTAGTTCGATTATTTGAATCATTCACTAGGTTTAAAGGACATTCTTCAGACAGACAAGTAGTTATATTCAATAGGTGTAGCTTATATTGTATTACTACATGACCTTACACTGTGTAACAATCATAATATCTTTATTTATCTTATCGATCAGCTTCTATAAACAGGACATGATTACAATGTGGATAAGTCCTAGACCGTCGGACCACTATCATAACTGTAAGTTGTAAGGAACAGCTATTATGGAAAACATTTTTTTGTGTGTAACTGTACTAATCTACTACATCTATTCACGTAGTTGACTATGTTTGCTTTTCCTTTTGTCTGCATAGCCTTCATGTTCTATAGATTCAGTTGTTACAAAACCAGAATTTTGTGCTTATCTACTTGTTATGCATTCACATAAAGAAGCTGACCGTCTTTTTCAAGCTCTTAATTCGCGTATAAACACTTTTACTAGTCGTTTAAACGCTAAACCTACATATCTTCACGAAACAAATAGTGCATCCAACAGTCCTGGTGATTTTTCCTCTATTTATTCCCGTACACATGGTCATCTTGAGGAAGGTGATGACTCTCCTAGTACTAGTAAAGTTGATGAGGAAAACCTACGACCATGTAAGTTTTTCCGTGTGATTTTTGAGGATTGAATTTGTAAACAGTGGTTCACAAGTACATATATGTTGCGAAATCTTTGTTATCAGTTAAAGGGTGTGTGCAGCTCATACTTCATGAAACTAGCCATGTTAGGCATTTTACTTTCCTCCGTTTGTTCTGGACTATCACTTGATAGAAATTGTTAACAATCATGTGCAGGAACGTAGATCTATACTTCACTAAATGACGATTATATGTCGTTTACGTTTGCTTCTAGTGAAAGTTAATTATTTTCAACACAGATATCCCTACAATCATCGAAAATCAACCATTACACACCTACTTTAAGAGTGAATAGTCGAACAATCCTATTGGTCTCTATACAATTGACAGGTGTCCAAGTTACATCCGTACGTGGAGTTATCTAGTAACATATAGGTAACAGCCAACACATAATTCCTTATTATTTTTAGTTTTTGTTTGGCTGCTATTACTTTGTGACTATATGACTGTTTCAAGTAAATAGGAATCCCTTCAATCCGAATGATCAAGAAAATAGATCCCTTTTCTCGACAGGTTATGGTATTAACGAATGATCATAATTACTATAGCTATTACGGGACAAGCAACTGGATTTTGCAAATAATTGACATGAATCCTTTAGTAATAACTAATACTCGTTAACAAAAATGTAGTTATTGTAATTCACTAACTTAGCGTTTAAAACGATTAGTAGTGAATTTGAATCCCACTGAGAATACCTATCCACATTAAACATCGTAAATGACAAACTTTTATATATACTCAGTATTCCAATATTAGTTAAACAGTTCAGTTCAATAAATCGCCAATAAAAATATCGAAAATCCAACAATCATTATCTTCTATTACTATTTGCTCTCACCTATTATAGACATGAAGTTAGAAATTGACGAACCTCCAAAAGATGCGAATTCTCAATCTATGGGTTTCACAACACCTGACAATTTGAATTGATCTGTCAAAAGAAAATTACAAGATTTTTGATCATATCCTAATGTATTTTAATAACTTTTCTTCAAGTAATCCCGTTGCGAGAAATGTGCTATAACCTATAAAATATTACATGTATCGTTCATATGTATACGTACATTTATGAAGTTTCCTCATATTATATACATATACATGTCTATTTATTATGCTGATATCATACAATATCAAGGTTTTGTTTGTTATTTCAACTTATTCGTCTAATACACTAGTTAACTCTGTGTTTTAATATTAGAAACTAGTAAACAAATAACTAATCAAGTATTTATTTCTGTTCGTTTTGACTTTTTCAGAATTAATTTATTCACTGTCTATACTATTAAATGTTTCAAAGATTCGTTTTTGAGAAAAGTAGTCGTAGCTACAACATGAACACAGATGTATTTGTAAGAAAAAAGGGTAAAAACACAGCAATCTAGCATTTTCTTGTTTTGTTTTACTTTATGGTTACTTGATTATTATTCCACAATAGAGAGTCGTAACATTCATTGGTAGAGAATATTGAACACTTAATTGTTCCTGCTTTAGATTGGTTACCTGAATCCATTCAACTTTTTGTGCTGATACTCGTACTATATCATAATAGCTCCATTTCTCATAGCATACTTCGTTTCTAAGTCGATTTTATATTTTTCTCATGACACAAGATTTACGAACTTCTATTTGTGTTTTGTGCAATTGTCCTCGATCATATGTTCAAAGAAGTAGCAGTAACTTAGAGTACTAGTAGTTTTTCGTTAGCTAAATGTCAAGAAATAATCCATTTGTTTATAATTATATATACACGGATACTCTTCCATATTGCTAAATACCAGTGTTTTCGATAGACAAATAAAATATTTAGCTCTTATTACACAACTTTTATGCATTGGAATAATAGTAAACAATTATGGTTTCTTTTACTTCCCAACAACACTGAACTTAGTCAATAAACAAATTTTTCTCCAAAACACCGTCTTTAATATTTTAGAATAACCGGCGACTACCACTGAAGTTGATAAGTTTGGAGTGATTAGGTATATGGATTTAAGGAATAAGGCAGTCTTCTCATGAATTTATGTGTATAATATTTAGTTTCTAACGTGCAGTGACTTGATTGTTAGTGTAATTGACTTTCAATCTTTATCTAGCGGATGCGAAACAAGGCTTATCAGTTTTTGTTTCAGCATCTGGTTAGTATCGCGAGTTCTTCCATATAAGACGTGTGGCTCAAATCCGGGTACATGAAACTGTCTTTGGTAAGTTCTGATAAAACTAGAATCTAGACTGGATCAGTCGTATGAATTCGGGTGTCAGATAATTGATCTACCGGTTATAAACAGGTAACCTATGTGTGATGCTAATTGGCCATCTAGATTACATTATATCACATTATTACGATAGTTCGTCCATCAATTGAACGATTTATCATTTCATAATCCTTGTGCTCAAATTACCCATATATTAGTTGAATTGATATGCTTTTAAGACCTCTAGCGCATTATGATTAGTTATTTGATTAAAAAAAGTTCGTACATGCTAACCGATCATTAGTGGCAGTTTGTCAAACAACAGCGAGAAGGACTTTGATGTATACACAAGCTATAAATAGAAAAGAAATCATCTACGTGATTTAAGAAATTTGTAGCTAGGTAGTGCAACCGTTGTCGAAATACATTTGAATATACTTGGTTCAAAATCCAAAGCACTGCAGGAATTCCCCATATTTTCTACATGATGCTTAATGTCTCAGGAATAAAATGGATACTACTAAAAATTTGATATGCGGCCTCACAACTGGCGTTTTGAGGAATTGATTTTCCTATTTCTAATCACCAGTGAGTCAAGAAAAGTGTCCTGTGTTGCACTAAGCGTTAGAGCAGAAATGAAACAAATCATTTGGTTCCTTATTGACGGTGGATTGCATGCTGTGGGGTTAAAAGGCTCCATCAATGACGATAAAAGAGTAAAAAATGATCCTTATATTCTCAATAAATGGGATCCGACAGAAAATGTGACAACTGGGGACTTGAGTGCATAGGTCGATGGTCTAAGCACAGAGTCGTTTGGGTAACAAATGGCGGTTCGTTATCCGCAAACTAAGTAGTGGGAGAAGCGTCATTGAGATATAACGCGAGTTCAATATCATGCTGGTTCGTAACCTCGAAATCTGCACAGTGCATTTCTATAGTTCTACGGATTTTGTTGAAATAAGGTTTTCTTAGCTGGGTGGTTTACTCGCGAGGTTTTCGTTGTCTTTCTAGACAACACGATTCGGATAAAAGTGAGCCATGAGAATTTCTCCACAAGTGACTGGCAATTTGTCCAATCAATCTTGAAGTTGACTAATGATTGTTGGCACTTGTTCTGCCATAGTTTGAACATCTATTTTGATTGTCTTCCTTTTTGAGCTTATGCTTGTTTATGATTTTTCTTATCAGTTGGAAACTTGAGTTTATTACACCTTGCCTATTAATTACTGACTGGTGTAGGTGCTGAGCTTCTGTAGATCATTCGGTCTTATCCGTCCAATATTTTGAAGTGTTCCCAGTATGATATTTGTCAACAGTTATCCAATATATATTGGCGCTTTATCACATGTAATGTTTTTTCGCGATTGGAACAGTTCATTTTACAGATAGTATCCGGCTTACCTTCTTTTATTATTTCGTCTCTGTCTTTGCACGCAATCAGTTGAGGCGATGTTATTGCTTATGATTGACGCTTATTCCTAATGACTTCAATAATCAGGTCGAAATTTCTGATGTCCTTCAGCTTGTCTTCACTCTTTTGTATGGAGCTTGCATACAATTGATTTTGTGAGTTGCTCCTATTTTAGTTAATTTCTGTGTCGGTTAGTTTTCAGTACGCTTTAGCCCTTAGTTTCACAGTATTAATTCTAGTGTTCAACACATTCAAGTATAATAATTTGTTATTTAGCGTCAGGCCCCCAAATACCCTGGTACGATCGAGAGTGGGGAGAATCCGCTCTCCCTCTCGAAATGCTCTCATATAGCCACGCGTATATAGACTCTGCCAAGGAAGTCCTACTCACTGCCTTCTCGTAGCATTACTGTTGTTTACGAAATCGAGAGAACGAAAAGCGAATGTCCAGCGTTTTAACCGGGTTGGTGGACACGGCGCTTCCACCTAGGGGAGTTGGAAAACCCTCATTCCAAACCAATGGTGTACATGGGCTCCAGTATCCTGAGGGAACAAATGGCGTATGAATCAGTCGTTGGTCACCGGCTACCATGGGACTGCATCTCCTCACCATGCTCCACTGCCTTGTGGATCAGTCCTTTAGGTCGAAGGCTCCGGGTGTGGCCCTCTAAGAATACCACCTGCTTCAGTTTGGGCATCTGGGAAGTATCACAGCCCTCACACAAATCGAATGAGATTTGTGTGATGTATATGTATCTGGTGCTTCCTTGCACCAATATTTATGTCTTTAAGTAAATAAAATAAATTTAGCATCAGTCCTTGAAGTCACTAACTTCTAGCCTTAGCCATGTTGGTAGATGCAGACTAATTGATTGGGGTCCGTGTGACTATTGTAACCCATGGTTGGAGACTCTGAGTAACATGGCTTAAAGTCGATCACAATGGCGTCAGTGTATACACTGTCTTTCCTTAAACTGTGAAATTAAAATTGCTTTATATCTTTCTACTAACTAATTCTTTCTTCCTGTACTTTATCCTTATTCACAATCTTTCTTCTATATATTACTACCATTGATGTAACTACTATGAATTCGGTTTTCATCTTGTTGTGCTAATGAGGTGTGGCAACTTGGACTGATGCATATATGTGCCTGGTCCTACGTTGTAGCTAGCTGGCTAACTGACTTGGACTTTCTATAAAAAAAGAGTTGGTTTAGAAGTTCTATTAATATTTTGAGGGCTGTTGGGGATTAGTGCTGTGATCACAGGATGCAGCTCTCATCCTCAAAATACAAGTATGTTCGCAGGAACGTATCCCAGTCTTCGTTCTTTGTAATAAACCTTTTGAAGTAGTCAAGTTTTTGTCACTAGGTAGTTGTATGAGTGTTGGTAATGGCTTGTTAGATAAGATCAATCTAAGTATGGTAAGAGTCAGAGTAGCTGATGACAGTCTCAGACGTTATGTTATCCTGGCTACTAAATGTCAGGTTTACCAAGGATCTCTGGGAAATTTTCTATTCTACGCTTGTAAAACCTAAACTTTCCCAGCTGCGGATGTTCGAGGACTGTATTCAGTCGTTGTCTTTGACGAATAGGTCACATTCTACGGTAACAAGATGTTGGTGCTTAGTGAATAATTCAACTAATGTGATAATCTTGCAGCACTGACTGTGGTGGCTTGTTCATGCTTTACAAGTGTCATCTTATCTCTTCATAACATCAATTCTTTTTGCCAGAATTTATGTTCTGTCAATAAGCAGACAAAGTAGCTCACTGTGTCATTTTTACAATACGGTTAGATACTTCTAGGCGTTAATAGATGTTTTACTGAGGATTTTCATAGATATAACTGTACGTGTGAAACTTATCCCAACTGGAAATAGTTTGGAGGTAATCATGGTTCTAAATTTATGGATTACACAATTTTGTATGTAGTTTTGAAGTGTTGCGAGCTTGAGTATGTTTGAATGAGATAATTTCACGGAACATGTTTATAAATGAGTCTACTATTTGATCAGTTTTTCCTCGAGTTTGTGTATACTCATTAGCATCCTATTGACTATCTACTTTGTGACCATCAACGATTTGCAGTCGATTTCCTAACCACTCTAACACGATGAAAAACGAGTGGTCACAAAATCTCAGATTAACTTCACCATTTAACCTATTCAAAGTGGGAGATAAACAAAAACATCTTATATCTGATCTAATCCTTAGTTTAAAAATTTTAGGCTAGATTTACGATTTCTTATTACTTGATTTAGGCTCCATACCAATTACGAATACACAGGTTGGTAGTAATAGACAAATGATTCGCACATGTAATCAGGATAACTTTATTTTCTAACATTTATATTCGTCCAGATAACTGAAGTCGTTTAGAATAGGCGCATGATTAAAGTATGCGCTTATTCCTTATATTCTCAATTGTCAGGATATACCATCTTCCTACCGAAAATGCTTGTGTTCGAAATATCAACGAAAATATCTCTTAAATGCTATTACGTTGTCAATCTATTAAAACGCACTACATACCTAGAGTATTCGAATTAACACAAATAAAGAATAGCCTGATTAGAAAACTATATGCTATGACATGCGGATCATTATATCCGTTATTCATGAGTATTCCGTCACCGAATGCAAGTCACATTAAACTAACGATTCTTATTGCTCATATTCATAGTTAAGGAAACCACAATATACTCGTGATTTAAAATTAAAGATGAATATATATATATATATATATATATATATATATATATATATATAAGAACTGCTTTCTCACGACTTATGACTACGAACGTTTAAAAACCTTCATTTGGTGCTACTTATCGTCCTAGATGTCTCCATTGATTAGACAACTAATGCACTCAAAAGAAACATTGATTTCTACAGAATTTTGTTCAGTAAGATATTTCAAAATAATTACAACAGATTAATAGTATACGGAAATTTTCTCTACGGAATCTAAGCGGCGATATTTGTCTTCACCATCATCAGGCGGACTATTCAGTTTATCCGCTTCATCCATTTCTTCCATTTCACCCACATTATATGGTACTCTCTGTTGATCTCGTTGTATCATATCTTCATTTATTGGTTTGAAAGAACTGGACACAACCGGTCTAGGATAATCTGGCGCTGTATATAAGTATTGTAGGTTGTTTGTTTCATATTCATTTCTCATTTGGTCCATTGGATAATTAGGTGTTATATCATCCCAGTACCCATCCAAGTTGTTGTTGTTGTCGTCGTAATCTTGGTAGTTGTTTACATACTTGTTGCCTGTCCGATAAGGTAGCACATAGATTCCAGGAACAATTATCATAAGATTCAATAGCCACCACAATAACATATTTTGGTTTGTAATAAAGTGATCTGAAAGTAGCTATTATATTTTGTTAATAAATACAATACTGAATAACAGTTTTGTGAATATTAATCAGAGTGACACATCTTCTTAGCCGATAATATTATCTATAATTCATTAGACTACTGTGATTTCTACTCATATGCATAAGTTTAATGAAATATTAGAATGGAAAGTTAAATAAATCATGATGACTAGTAATTTACAAAACTTGTAAAGTAGACAAATATCGATTTAAAAGTTGGGTGATTTTTTTTCGGAAAATATATTCGATCACTTATCACTTACGTAAAATACAATATGACATCAACATACAAAATGTTTCAACTATCGAAAATTGATCGTAGTAATTAATTGAATCTAGCGAATGAATTCAAATTTTGTTTTATTTCATCTGCGTCTTATTAGAAAAATCTACTTATATCTTAATGTTTTAAAACTTTCATTGAAACTTCAACAGAATATATGTCACTATAATATATATATATCCAAATGAATAGGAAAGTTCCTCTGAAAACTAATCACACCTAGTCACATCGATCAAAGTTCAAGTTTAAATAAGAATATGGGGAAGGTTTTATTAATTCATCTTAAAAAACTTTGATAAACGAAACGTTTGGCATATCAATAATTTAGCTGAATATTGTAGCGGCAAATAAATATCTCACCAGGTGTTTAATATTAGCACTAACATCATTAGTTCTAATGAAATTTATTAACTGTAAGGACAACGTTAAAAATCTACGCCTTTTTGTGGGATACCACCTTTCATCATCTCGATACCCAGTGAAGCATCCTTATCCCCGTCTATCTCTGTGTGCGAATAAATACAATATTTCTTTCCAACTAGCACCACCCCTACCAACTATCTTTTAAGTTCATACACATCTTCCTAACACTACGTTTTGATTAGTCTGATATCAGTACTTTTGGATTTTGCTGCATTAAGAACTTTCAATATATAAATATATGTTTACTGATGTAAACTTTGACTAGATTTAGATTAATTCGCGTTCATGTCAAACAGATCCTACCTCAATCTGGAAATTTTCTGAATAAGTGCGTTGTGAGAAAGTATGCAAAAGTATATATCATCTTGATGGATTTCAAAGTTTTCACTGGTAACCGCTTATGGTTGACCTCACTAGTCTGTCCAGAAGTTTTGTTGTTTTTTACGAAATCTACTCTGAATGTTTTCTTGAGGCTTTTTAATCATCCATCAATTTCAGTCTTCTTTTCTTAAGCTTTCAATTTATCTACTCTAAGTGGCTGTTTTAAGTATACCAAAGGCTAACATTGCATTCTCTCAGGTATGTTTTTATTAATTTATACTAATCCATTAGTTTTTATCTCATTGCTGAATAAATCTTTTACTGAATGTTTTGTGATAATCTGAGACGCTACAGTTGATAGGAAGTCTGCTATCCGTGTTTCGATCTCCGGGATAATTTCTCACGTAATTATTAACTGTGATGGCATCCTTTTATCTATCTGAAGATTTTCAAACTGATATATAGTGAGGTCACCTTAATAACTCACATCATCATAGTGTCTTATAGATTGCAAGGGTCTTGTTTTGTTTCGAACCTGCTCTGTTGGCTTATTTGGGATCCAAATGATTACTAAAATTAACATTCAACAGTTTCCTAAACAAAAGCCGAAATATGGTATGATTGTTTAAGTAAGCTGAACTTCTGGAATGATAAATTTGTATGTACCAAATTATCTACAATATATGTTAAGTACATTAAGTCATTACGATATATATATATATTATATATAATAGTAGCTATGAATAACCAGACTGGAAGACTTGACCCATGAATTTACGGACTTTGTTATGTAAGGTTTCCGCATCAATAATAAATGATTGAAAATTCTCACTCTTTCAGCCCACAAAATAAATTTCAAGTATCAAGTCAATAGTAAATATATTTAAATTATAAATATTCTATTGATGTTTTTACTTATCAATTGAATAAGTAAACTACTTGATCACAAATGTGAAATGAACATTGGTTGTTCCCTTAGAGAGTGCTAATTGGTGAAATTTGTGACACGTATTTCGTCTTTTTTGAGGCTTGTTATTTGATTGTCTGCATTCAATTTTTAATAATGACACTAAGGTAGGAACTTAGTAGGGATCATTTTAAGCTTTAGAATGCCATCTACTCGGCTATCAAGTTATGGTAGGAGCTGATAAATCCAACAATTATTTTATATATCAGTAAATGTTTGTATTTTCTACTTGTAACTACAGAAAATGTCGAGACATTGATTATAAAACTCTACACACTAACAATGACTGGTTAAAATTCCTTTTGAGTATCAACAAAGCGAAAATCTAAACTTTTAAAATTCATGAATTCACATACAAGGTGATCTAGTGATCAAGTGGATAACTCGCGTATTAAGCAATATGAATTGGGCTCGAGTCTTAATGTCGACATCATCGTAGGATACATTCAAGATAAATGGAATTCTGAACTGTTCAAAACATGACCAGTATTTATTATTTAACACATGATTTAACAGGATTTTATTACCTAGTTTATGCGATCATCAAAGTAGCCATCAAAGTACCCGAATACGAAGAAAGGGTAATCCACGTTGGGTGCTAACCGTGAGGTATGACTTCGACGTTAGCTAGTTGGTCACGTCATCTCTATCTAACTTGAGTAGACCTCATTTGACACAGACCATCTACATTGATGGTCAACGTATAAATTGTTTAGTTTTTTGTACAAGTACACATTTATAGTGTAGGATTTATTTTACCTACAGACATCTTTTATAAGTACATTCCACAAAATCGTTGTGTTTGGATCAGGGTGTGATCACAGTCAAATTAAGTAAAACTTGGTCTTTAATACTTTATGTTTCTAAGACGTAAATTAATATCATTTTTATCAGAATAAATAGTTGATATAGTCGACCAAAAGTAAAGTAAAAATTTTATACATAGAAATGTAATTGTGCATGAAGTCAATAAACTTTTGTGAGGAACAGTAATATAATAAAAGTAAAAATTTCATTGATTAATAAGTAAATACAGTCCATACTAGTTTCGGATTGAGTCGAATTAGTGACCGTTTAAATTTGGATAAAATTGGTCACTTTAATGATAGAAATAAATAAAATGAATAATCTATTGTGATTGTTGACTGTCCTTGTATTTTCATCATTGCTTTGGCTACTTAACAAATATTAATTAGCTTTACTAAATTTTTTTCCAATAACTCCTTGTATAATTTTAATCACCTAGAGTCCAACAGTATTGAAAGTCTCGTAAATGACAGACGTTTCCAGAATCTTAAAGAATGAGCGCGTCCGAAGAAATTTGTGTGCTTGTGAACCCTTGATAATGAACGAAGTGAACAGACGTAATGTCATCATGGTATTATTAATCTTACGAAAACTTATATCCAGTAGATTCTAAGTAAGTCGCCCCGACAATTTAGTGTTAAAAACTGACTTAAAATTGCAGTCAATAGGTACAGGATTAATGTTTATACTCAATATATACATCACCTGTGCATACAATGGTATCCAGTCCTTTCTATGACTGAATCACACTTCTGTAACCGATCACGGTATTTTGAGACAAAAGCAAATAATCTCAAAAGCGAAATCTTACCTTGGTTGAATAGTGACTGTGCTATATTAGCGATGCTTTAGACCAGTTAACTTGAGTACCTGAGTAACGATTGGACAGAAAGAAATTTTGACAAAGAAAATGAAACTATCGTTCAGTTTAAAGGATTATTGTTTTAACAAAGATCAGATAAATATAACTGTTATGATTTGTGTAGTTCGGATACCTGCTATTGCCATAGATTGTCCAACCACTTATTTATGAACTTTTAGAGACTAGTTGGTAAATTCACCTCGTCTTATTGTTTCAGTAATTATCTACTTTATATATTGTGCCTCTGTAAACTGAAGTATGCCGATCTGATCCCGTATCCTCACTAATTCGAGTCATACCTACCTGAATCACTAATTATCCCAAAAATGACAAAATCAGGATGAATACCATTTTGCTTCCTGTTTAGAAATGACTTCCATAGATAATATTTGTTTACTTTTCTATGTAAACGATTGCAATGAAAAGTGAAGAACGTCCAGTAAAATGTTAGTGTACTGGTGGGGAAGCCTAACATTTAGGCTGTTCATTACTGATTCGACGTAATATGGTCTCACCATATTACTTTTAAAAATCTAGTTTTTTTACGAGTCAGTGTAGGTAAATAATTAGATAGATTGATAATAAATGTGTCGCCAAAATTTACTTCAAAAGAACTGCAGCTCTGTTTACAAAATAATTTAGCGAAAAAATTAAGTATTATTGATCATGTAACTTTCATCTACAAAGTGATAGCTTTGGAACAAACGATTTTCGTCAGTTAACTTTATCTTCCCAATATTGTCGGTTCGATCTCAGGATTGCAACGACTCAAAGATGAGTTAGCAATTGTTACAAATTACACCAATCGAACTGTAATGATCTGTGAAACTTTGAATATCTGTAGTATTTGCACAAAATAATGCTTGTGACTTAAGGCAATTTCGGGGCAATTCACATAGGATACACATATGCCAATGAGAGACTGATCGATTGCAATCCTGAACATCAATGGGAAGATTTAAACAAACAAAACAAAATGAAGTTAGACATTAACACCGTTGGATGCCGGCTCGGTGGTCTAAAAGTTAAGCGCTCACGCGCGATCCGAAGGTTCTGGGATTGAATCTCGCGAGCGGGACCGTGGATGCGTGCTTCTGAGGAGTCCCACACTAGGACGAAACGGCCGTCCACTGCTTCCAGATTTCTCATGGTGATCCAGCTTTGATTAACTCATGAACTCAATTAATAAATTAATATAAAATGAGTTTACATTTCATCACATTGCACAAGCCAGTAGTTGTTTGAACTCAGTAGCTAAGTGGATAACGCAATGGAGTTTGAACGGAAAGGTACAAGGTCTGAGTTCCAGGGTGAACATCGACTCTGGGGTGCAGGTACACCCATCTGATGAGTCCCAAATAGGACGAGATGTGCGTCCTGGATTCCTCTGGTAGCCACCATCATCTCTTTTTATAATTACTGTGTCATGAGCAAGAACCCAGGTGGGGTA